AAAGCACTCATCTACCCATAGACAAAGACTCAAGGGGACTCTTTTATAATCAAAAGTGGACTAGGGACCTGAGCTACCCTTCCTCGGATCAGGATGTCCAGTCCACACTCTTAAAAACTGCTCAGAACTGTGATAAGCTGTGTCCAACATTCCAGAAAATGTGCAATACTCTGACCAAGATGATAGATTGAGGATTTTATCTAGCCACAAGTTAGCTTTATTTGTTGCTGACCCACAGACATTCAAGTGTCTTGGGTTAGGCCATCCAGAAAGTCATTTCCTATTTGAAAAGGAAGTGCCCCCTCGGGGGCCTCAGAAGGAAGAGGGCATTTGGTGAGTGTGTACCAGGTATATACATGCCAAGTCTGAAAAATCATTTTGAGGAATTATGAAGAATGCTGTCAGATGCCCAGGATTCAGTCATCAGTTCAGCCACTAGCATCTTACTCCTGACGGACTTCCTCATACCCTGCCCCCAGCCCAGCTCTCACTCCCGGCAGGCTGGCCATTAGCCATTCACAGCCTTAATTAAAAGGAGCCCGAGACTAAAGATCACAGGCTTTCTTTAAGGGGCAGCTCGACCTCAGCGGGTTGGAGAGGAAAGAAAGGAACTGTTCATGACAAATAAAGGTTCACTTCTCTCATTATAAGTGTGTTGTTGAAGAAGGTCATGTAGAAAAGTGTGCATTCCCTTTCAAGCAACACCAGAGAAATCCTTTCTCACCCAGCAAAATTGGGGGATGGCTCTCCAACCACAAGAGCTGATAAAGTGGGAAGTCCAGGGGCTGAACTGTCAGGGGTAGGGGGTGTGGATTCAGGTCCCATTTTCATTAATCAATTAAGTGGTCTTTGGTAATCATCTGACCTTTAGCAATATTAGCCACTGTTTACTGAGTGAGAGATGTTATCTATGTCATCACATTTTATCCTCAAAACAGGCTTATAGGGAAAAAAAGTGTTATCGACTCCATTCTTCAGCAGAGAATTCTGAGATGATGTAAAGTTAGGTAATTTGTGCAAAATCCTACAGCTAATATGTGGGGAACAGAGTTTCTCTCTAACCCCCAAGTTCATAGCTTCATTTACTACCTTCTACTGCTTCTGCTCAAAGAATAATCAGCAAACATTTGCACTTTTGGATTTTTCTTTATTTCTTCCTAGAAGATGGTTATAATAATAAGACCAATTTTTTGTGTGTGCCTGTGCATATATTTGCAATTGATCAGGTATGATACTAAATAAAACCTTTCTCAGAAATCCAAATGAGATAGGTAAGGTATTATTATCATCTTTGTATCAGTCAGGGTTTGCCAGAGAAACAGAACCAAGTGTGTGTGTGTGTGTGTGTGTGTGTGTGTGTGTGTGTGTGTGTGGTGTGTGTGTGTGTGTGTGTGTGTGTGTGTGTGTGTGTGTGGCACAGGAGACACAGGAGAGTCAGCGGTGTACGTTCCAGTCCAGGTCTGAAGGCAGGGGAAGAACAACACCCTAACTTGAAAACAATCAGGCAGAGAGGGAGCAAAATCTCCTTTATTCAGCTTTTTTGTTCCATTCAAGCTTTCAACAGATCAGATGAGGACCATCCATGTTAAGGGGGGTGATCTGCTTTATTTAGTCAAATGTTAATCTCATGCAGAAACACCTTCACAATAATGTTTAACCAAGTATCTGGGCACCTCACAACCCAGCCTAGTTGGCACATAAAATTAACCATCAATGTCCCCCAAACATTTGTTAACAGAAGAGGGAACTGAGGCTCTACAGAAGTTGCCCAATGTCACCCAGCTGTTGAGAGGCAGATGTGATAGACAAGCACTGGTGCTAAAACCTAGTTCCCTGGGGACTCCTTCCTCCCATCCATACCTGTTTGAGTGGGTTTCTTTCCTTCTTGACAATGGCAAGAAACACCACTCTCATTGGGGAAACTAACTGGTGAAGGCAGTTGTGATCATTCCAAGTAAATTTCCAGAGCCATGAGGTGTGGATTATGAACTCTGTCATCCACCTGCCCCACTGTTTCCTGCCCTGAAGTCATGGCTCCAGGTGGAATGGGTAAGGGATTGAAAACTCACCAAAATACACCTACTTCAGTGTCAGACAGAGATGGAACAGGTCAGCATTAACCAAGAGAATCTCTAACTCGCATTTATTTGTAACCCAGGTCATCTCCTCGCGATCTCCTCCTTTCTCTATCATTCATACACTCCAGCCCTGTAAATTCCACTCCAGTACTGCCTCCAGCATGGAGTTAATTGGGCCACGTGCTACTCTGCACCTAATTATTGTTTACTTCATTTGCATTTTTCATTTTATCATTAACATGGGGAGGGTGCTCATAGCTGGGGCAACTAGGAGTGATGCCAGCATTGCTCAGTCTTAGCCAAGATTTTCCACTCATTTGGAGCTGTTGGTGTCCAACAATATTTTTGGCTCACACTTGTGATCACAAAAGTTTAAACATTCTCTAGTGCTTTCTATATTTGTGGGGTTCTACTAATACCTCCCATTAATTTACCAATCAGTCCTTCTACTTTTACCAACTAAACCAAATATATTTCCTTTTTCCTGTGCAATAGCTTTTCCTTTATGCTATTCAGCTTCAGAATTTAACCCTCTTCACTTGGAAAATCAGGGTAGTGATATCACCCTTCCTATTCCATGGGGTCGTGAAACATACATATAGTACCTTGAACTTCTCTACTTTAATGTTTTTCTTAATTTAGTTTTGATTTTACATGCAATGTTTTTGAAAGTCAAATAATTACTATGAAACCTAGGAGGTGAAAGAACGCCTCACACCCAATTCTCACTCCCCTTAGGCAACCAGTTTCAATTTTCCTTTGTTATTTAGCTCCATTTTTCAGAAAGCATACTTTTTCAGAGTCTGGCCAGGTAAGGTGTCTCTGGGTCCCCTGGCTCAGTTTTCAGGTTGTATGTAGTTCTTCTATTTTCCATATGATTCTTCACTCCATAGCCACACCCCAGCCATGTGTAGTGTCCCCAGCTATAGAATCTCTTTATTTCAACCTTTCCAGAGAGTAAACTTCTTGTTTTATCCTGGATCCATATCCTGGGAGAACTATGCAAGCTAATGAAATGTTCTAATGATCCAAACAGAGGTCAGCAACCTATGGCCCAGGGGCCAAATCTGACCTGCCACTTGTTTTTGTAAATAAAGTTTTATTGGACCACAGTCATGTCCACTGTAGAAGTATTGTCTCTGGCTACTTGTGCACTACCACTGCAGAGTTAAATCACTGTCACAGAGACCATATGAGGCATAAAGCCTAAGGTATTTATTATTTGGCCCTTTGCAGAAAAAGTTTTCCAGCCACTAAACTACTTATACAGACTTTCAATCAGTCCACCTATTTCCAACTCATTCAGTGCTCCCAACTTCAAACTTACCTGAAACTTTCCAGGAATCAATAGCACAGCATAAATCTGCTTACTTCTTATCAGGATTTCTCCACTACATGTAGTCAGGTTTCAGTTTTCTTCTCCCTGATACGTCAGTTACCACTTACTCTTCCCAATTTTATCTCCCCCCTACCCAAAAAAGTGTTGGTATCTCAGCTGTTGTTTTGACTCACATTCTCATTATCCTTAAAGCCGTATGCTTCTTTTTTTAAACTTACTGTCCTTTTGTGGTATTTGTCAGAAAATAATTAGCCTCTTGGGTGTTTCAAGAATTCAATTAAATTCATATGGGGACTATCGATGTTTAGAACATGGTGGTGAGGGCTGGAGTTTCAAAGACCAAACAAGTAAAGCTTTTGCTTGTTCTCAGGTCACCATTAGCTTTCAGAGAGTCAGGAAGTTGCAGGAACCATGAGAAACCATCTGCAGTGATCACTGATGGTTACAACCCTGAGTTTGCTGCAGCACCACGAACCACCTGGAGGCAGCTCCAAAACCTCAGACCCACTGAGGCTACATCTCCCCACATTTTTGCTAAAGCACCAACAAACGTCTTTCTCTCTTCTACCTTCCACCTAATCTGGAAACACTCTGGCAAGGGATTCTGGGCAATGTATTCCCTGAGGAGAGGCAGAAGGGGGCTGGTGCTGCATTTCCAGCAGTCGGCACAAGGAGCTAGCAGATATCCACCAGTGGCTTCCATCTGCCATATTTAACATTTCTACCCCTACTTCTTCTTTACCATCAAGGTTTCCATAAAGCCATGGCTGTCCATTGGATGAATATTGCACTTTAGGTCCGTAGGCATGGGTAGGATACTTATTGCGGAGTGACAGTCATTCAGCCTTGGCCACCTCTGGTCAAATGTAGAGAAAAATATATATACCATTTTTATGAGTGTTATGAAGAGAAATGAGATAGTGCATGTTAAATGTTTAATAAACTGTAAAATGCCACCTAAAATAAAAGTAGAACTATGTAGTTAAATTAATTCTGGCTTATGTTTCTGATGCCAAAGAATAGCAATGTATATCTCTGGGGAGTACATCCACCTGCCAGTCTCATCTCAAACTTCTTTTCATCTGTCCTTTTTTTTTAAATTAAAAAAAGCTATTTCAAACCTAAATGTAGCAAAATGTCACCACTGTACAGTATTTATTTCATTCTTCATCAGCCTATGGCAGATGTCCTGACAGATAATGAGAACCCTGGATGACTCTAAGGCTGGAGGAAAAGTGGCTCAGAGTCTACTTTCTGTTACAAAGCCTTGTTTTTATACAGAGTCCTCAAGGTTACAGGATGTCATTTTTCACTTTTATAATTCTGACTGAAGTTCCTCACCGGCAATAACAACTTCACATCTTACGTATATTTTACAGACCAAAACAAAGTCTGTTCATGTCCATAGTAAAATAATACAAATTAATACTAGCACTAATTTGAAAACGGTCCCATTCTTCTCTTTTCAAAGCTAATCTTCTGCCTTGATTATGACTACTAGGATATTAAAATGTATTAAAATATGTAGCAGGATTGTGACCCAATGGAGATTAAATTTCTGTTTTGTGTTCTCTCTTCTTTAGATGGATGGGGCCAGAAAACCATGTTGGGATCATAGAAGGTGGATTCTCACCATTCAGAAGATGGAAAGCTTCTGAATCACTCAAAGTAGCTTCATTCAGAAGTGTGGGCAGACGGTCGGCATCGTATGATCAAAAAGAAGGTGTGTTTGAAGCTTGTGTGCTCTGGGAACTCAAAAGGAGAATCTTCCTAAACCTTGGGAAGATCCTTGGAGGAGAGGAAAAGAGGGTGGCAATTCTGGGTTCACAGGGGGCAGATGCTTGAACAGAGTCTCTGGCAAGGTTTATGCCCCAGGACGAGGCTTCTTAAAGTATGGTTTCTAGACCCTGGGGGATAGACCATCTGTGAGATCAAAGCTCTTTTCAAAATATAGTAGGACATTGTTTGCCTTTTTATGTCCTTTGTTGACCTTTATCCATATGGTGCAAAGCCGCGGTAGGACAAACTGCTGACACGTAAGCATGAATTAAGCAGTGGCGCCAAACTCCTGGTAGTTATGATTCTTCATAGTCACATGCTTATGTTTTAAAAAATGTCAGCTGCTCAGGCTGTTGAGGGGGCATAGTGTGGATATAGCTCAGTGGTAGAACACATACTTAGCATGCATGAGGTCCTGGGTTCAATCCCCAGTACCTCCATTTAAAAAAAAAAGAAGCCAGTTGTATTTAAGAATGCCTATAATGAAGCAGTAGAAATTAATATATTAGTTAAACATGGACCCTTGAGTACACGTCTTTTTAACGTGCTATGTGACAAAATAGGAAATACTCACCAAGCAGCTCTGCTGCATACCAAAGGATGATTTTCTGAGGGAGGAGCACTCGTGTGGTGATTTGATTTACTAACTGAACTGGTTGTCTTTGTCTTGGAACACCATTTTTTGCTGGAAAGAATGATTGACAGACAAACTACAGTTACTCTGACTTGAGTTTTTGACGAATATTTTCTCAAAAGTGAGTGAACCGATACTTGTGAGCCTCACCCAAGTTTGTCAGGGACTTTCTCGGTTTTGGTGCTGAAACCCCAGAACCTTCCCAGGAGCCCCTCAATCTTGGGCAAAGCGAGATGGTTGGTCACCCTAAGTGAACCTGTCATTTCAAGGAAAACACTGACAGCCTTTGTGGTCAATGACAAAATTTAAGCTTTTAAGCAAAAATTAGAATCTTGGAAAACTCGTAATGGCTACCATGAGCTTGACAGCTTTCCAAAACTTAAAAACTTTTCTGACAAGATGAAAGTGATATTAATAAATGTGATATTTATATTGTTTAATGAAATAAATGCTCATTTGGAAGATCTGCATGTCTCAGTGAACCAATATTTTCCAAATGGTCAAAGTCTTTCATGAATAAAATATCCATTTAAAGTCTGAGATGGATCAATGAATTTTAATATAACAGAATACCAAAAGCTCATTAATATGGTTTCAGGTTCTACATTGCAACTAACCATTAAGAAACCAGCACTTTTTGAGTATTGATGTGGTATCAAAGAAGAATGTTCACAATTATCTGAAAAACCAAATGTCTCTCGCTTTTCCAATTATATGTATGTGTGAGGCAGGATTGTCTTCAACTGAAAGAGTAGATCATGACAGAGTGATTGCAGAAAAAGATGAGATTCAAATTGTCTCCTATTAAGTCAGCCATTAAAGAGATTTGCAAAAATGCAAAACAATGACATTCTTCTCATGATATTTTATTTTACTTTGGAAAATATACAATTTTTTAAAAAATATATTATTTTTGTTAACATGTAGTAGATATATTATTTCTGTTTTTAAATAAATTAATATTTAAGTGTTTCTCAGTTTTCATTTCAAATATAATCCATATTGATAGATACAACCCCATAAACAAAAGCCCTTTAGGGACCTTAACAAATTTTGAGAAAGTATAGGCATCCTGAAGACCTAGAAGTTTAAGAACCCTATCCTGAAGTGATGTGCCTTCTAACCCAACCACGACTTGCTGCAAGAAGTTGCTATTCCATATATTCATCTCATGCTATTCCATGAGAGAACCCAGCCCCCATCATTGCCCTCTGAGCCCTACCTCCTCTCTCTCTCTTTCAGGAGATCCACACTCCAACAGTCCTCAGTTGCCATGTGAACTGCCTTTCTTAGCCAACTTCTGTGCATTAGTAACATCTGAGAAAGGACATTTACCCAGCCACCAGCGCCTGAGATAACCATCAGCTAGACTGGAACCTCTCCATATGAAGATACGCATATGCCTGGGAGACCCCTGAATTTACCGTAAGTACTGGGAATAATGGCAAACGTGTCTGAGCATCAGTGCTTGGAAAGTCTTAGTTATACCCTCAGCAAGAAAGTGTTAGAGTTGCCAAATTAACTTAAGGAGTGAATTATCTTTCTCTCAGAAATGATGAATGTGTTTCTCTGTCTTCTTTGTCAAGTTACTTATACATGACATTTCTGATGGCTGTAGGTTTATTACTTTCAAGTTTGTACGATGTGCGAGAAACATAACATCATTTTTGTCTTGTCCTTTTCAAATATTAATAGTAAATTCATTTCCTCCCTTCTTCTACTTCATCTGCCTTGCTGGTCTTTAATCCCAGGTCAACCCCAACTTCCAATTTCTCTGCCCCTACTCTCCAGCTGCTGAGCATAGCTACAGATAACCCCACAGCCATGCCAACTGGCATGATCACCAAAGGATGGTTTTCAAGAACAGTTGTGTTCACAAGCTCTTCGGCAGCTCCTTACTTTGCCCCTGGTCAGAGTCCTCTCTCATTCTCATGTAGCTGTTATTAATCTCTATCCCACTCCATGCAAGTTTCTTCAATGGTAAGTTCTACACCAGTGTTTTGCAGAGACAAAATTTTCTGCAGAACTCATTTAACTACATTAGTGAAAAGGATCCTGAGGACAAATACTTTGGGGAAACACTGGACCAACCAAAAGGAGATAGCTGTCATTTCTACAGGGCTGAAAGCAGGACCTGACCAGGCTATCATATATGAAGACTCTGAGGAGGGTCAAGATGTTTCCCAGACATCTGGCCACAAGATCCTTTTTTTCACAGAGTATCCACGGGACTTGTGTTTGATGGGAAAAAGTTATAGAAATATTTCTTTCTTCTGTCCATCCCTAATTTTATTTCTTCCTAATTATTTGCTTTCTAAAATCATTTCTGACTTTCTAATTGCCTTCAGTGAAACATCTATAGTCCTAATATTCAAAACACTGTAATGGTGAAGCACATGCATGGTGGAATCAAACATCCTGATTGGAATCCCGGCTCAGTCACTTATGAGCTGTGTACCGTGGGCAAATTACTTAACCTCTCTTTGTGTTGATATTCTCCTCTTAAAACGGGAACAATAATTGTACTTACACTGTAGAGATTAAATGAAACATGCATAGAGTGCTTAGAACATAGTGAATACTATTAAAGTGTTACCTATTTTATTAATTTATTTGATAGAGTTAGCTTTTGAAGAGAAGAGACTAGTTTTATTCAGTTTTATATCCCTCATCTATTGTGCAGTTCTTGGTACAAAATAAAAGCTTGATAAATAGTAATACCTACTGTTCTTACAAAGTTTTATGATATACTTTTGAATATATTGACTCATCAGATTTTTATTAGAGAGCCACAGTAAGAATTAACATCTCTTTTTTGTCCCAAAGATGAAAAATAGAGGCAACAAAATGAGTTTAGGTAGTTTCCCCAAGATTACATAGGTTAATAAGTGACAGAGTTAGAACTAGGACTCAGATTTTGGACTATCATCTAATACACCATCTAGCGTTATCTGCAAAAAAACAATGTTATAGAAAGCATTGAGACATCCTGATTTTTGACAAAACAACATTCTCCTTAAAAGAAAATCATTTCAATGGGGAAGAAAATCATTTTAATTTCTTAAATGTGTATTGTTTACTTGAGATAGAAGAACCATCCAGCATCAAAATTGTTTTAAACAGTAAGAATAAACACTTTCAAGATGGTATTTAGTTCTGAAGAAAGAATGACAATTTGAATTGTGTTTGGCATGCAAGACAGAAAAGGAATAAAATAGGAATTACAGTTTCATTCTCTGAGTGTAAATGGAATGTCCCAAATCAAACTGCTCTTTTGAATCCTATGAAGAAATTCAGAAACAAATTGATTAAGTGGAATATCAGTAAATGCATTTCTGGTGAGGGGGCTGAACTCCAAGGCTGGGGGAGGTGAAGACATATGTTAGAAGGAGCCAGATGCTCGAGCACACGCGCCATGCTGTCTGGGAGTCCGTGTCCAGCCAGGATCACACTTGCTAGTCCCTATCTGAGAGCACCCATCGAGAAGGGTGCTTAACGTTAGATCCATATAGTTCACATGCCTATTTTCGTAAATTAAATTTTATTGGAATGCAAACTTGTTCATTCACTTCTATGTTTTCTGTGGCTGCTTTCACACCGTAATAACAGAATTTATAACCCAGTGGAGTACTTGAGTTTGGGAAGAAAAAGAGGGAAAGGGTGCTCAGCCACAGACAAGATTGTTGTTTTTATCCTTTGAAAAGAAGAATCGTGAGGCTTGAGCCATCTCGGAAGTGGTGCCTGATTTGATAGAACTTTCTCTTTTCCACTACTTTCATCATTGCTGTAAACAATTGCTGTGTAAAAAAATTACCCCCGAACTTAGCAGCTTAGAACAACATGTACTTTTTTAACTTTTAATTTTTTTTATTGAAGTATAGTCAGTTTACAATGTTGTGTCAATTTCTGGTATATAGCACAATGTTTCAGTCATACATGAATATACATATATTTTTCATATTCTTTTTCACCGTAAGCTGCTACAAGATACTGAATATAGTTCCTTATGCTATACAGTATAAACTTGTCTATCTATACCGGTCAGTATCTGCAAATTTTGAACTCTCTATTTATTCCTTCCTACCCCCTTCCCCCTGGTAACCATAAGTTTGTTTTCTATGTCTGTGAGTCTGTTTCTGTTTTATATATAAGTTCACTTGTCTTTTTTTTTTCTTAGATTCCACATGTGACTGATATCATATGGTATTTTTCTTTCTCTTTCTGGCTTACTTCATTTAGAATGACAATCTCCAGGGCCATCCATGTTACTGCACATGGCATTATTCTATCATTTTTTATGGCTGAGTAGTAGTCCGTTGTATAAATATACCACAACTTCTTTATCCAGTCACCTGTCCATGGACATTTAGGTTGTTTCCATGTCTTGGCTATTGTAAATAGTGCTGCTATGAACATTGGGGTGCAGGTGTCTTTTTGAATTAAGGATCCCTCTGGATATATGCCCAGGAATTGGGTTGCTGGATCATATGGTAAATCTATTTTTAGATTTTTGAGGAATCTCCATACTGTTTTCCACAGTGGCTGCACCAAACTATATTCCCACCAACAGTATAGGAGGGTTTCCTTTTCTCTACACCCTCTCCAGTATTTATTGTTTGTGAAAGTTTGAATAGTGGCCATTCTGACTGGTGTGAGGTGATACCTCATTGTAGTTTTGATTTGCATTTCTCTGATAATTAGTGATATTGAGCATTTTTTCATGTGCCTATTGGCCATTCATATATCTTCATTGGATAATTGATTGTTTAGGTCTTCTGCCCATTTTTGGATTGAGTTGTTTGTTTTTTTCTTATTAAGTCATATGAACTGTTTATATATTCTGGAAATCAAGCCCTTGTAAGTCTCCTCTTTTGCAAATATTTTCTCCCATTCCATAGGTTGTTGTTTTGTTTTGCTTATGGTTTCCTTTAATGTGCAAAAGCTTGTAAGTTTAGTTAGGTCCCGTTTGTTTATTCTTGCTTTTATTTCTATTGCTTGGGTAGACTGCTCTAGGAGAACATTGCTGAGATGTATATGAGATAATGTTTGCCTATGTTTTCTTCTAGGAG